AATAAAGCTGGTGGCACAGGCTCATAACAATCGGCTGCATGACTACGGGATGCACATTTACACCTACGAACTTGTGCTGTTCCTCACGCCTTCATGCAGAGGAGCACGCCTATGTGGGGAATGTGACATTTCCTCCCTGAACCCTGTTGACACTTCTGTGAGGGCCGGGTTTGGGGAGGGGAGCTTGGATTATACATCCGCAGGCCTGTTACCTGGTGAGCTCTGCAGACTTCCAGAACATCAGAGCCCTACGCCTGGATGTTATTGCCACCCGCAGCACCGCTGCCTGAACCACATCTCTAATGAGGCCTGCCTTCAACTCAGTCAAAGTCATCTGATGACACTGATGTGGGGAGATTGATATTCACGCTTGACTCGCCGTCCTCTCCACTTGACTGCCATGTTTACCTCCCCGCGCAATTAGTATCTGGTGAAGACAGACAGACAAAAGAGAGGAGCGAGGGATGGAGTCAGACTCTGCTGTGCGACTGCATTAGCTCCAATTGTTTATGAAGATGGGAGATGTCTTTCAACAGCGGCTTGAAGGTGGCCTTCTATATCACAGGGCCATTACTAGCTCATTTAATCCCCATAAAACTGCTTTACCTCGCTGAATGTCAGGAGCCTGAAATATCAGAAACTGTATTGGCTTAAGTAAAATGCATATTTCAACAGTTTTTCTGCTAAATTTGCATCGAAGACGTGCCTCGCTTTGGCCTTTTAAGATGCACTTAGGAAAAAAGAACCCACAGAGCAAAACTCCACAAGCGTGACGGTGCAGGTTCAACTCCAGCCCACACGAAGCAGTTTACATGCCCCCCCTCCTCTCTGTGAGCTAGCTTCATCGCACTATTAGCATATGAACAAATAAAACATTTAAGATAGAAATTGTCTGCCCACTCGCTGTGGAGAAAAAAAAGGAGAATGGAGTTAAGGGTAGAGATGGACAAGGATTGGCATTAGCAGACTTTTTATCTGAGCTGTTGGAGAGAAGAGCCAAACCCATGTCTTCGAAGTGATTTAGCGTTAATTGACAGTCTTCTAATCGGCCGCATTCACCATTTGAACACAGTAATAAAAAACTGTTTGTATGCTGAATACAGATGCCTACCCGAGAGGAGAAACGACCGGGGCTGAGCAAAGCAGGTGGACACTCGGCTACGCCGGGTGTTGTCACGGCGGAGGGGGTGTTCGGATGTGTGTGTGTGGAGCAACAGCGCCTCCCTGTGGAAAGTGGCTGCCTTAATCAGAACAGATGCAAAACTTGTATCCACTAGTTAGCTTAACTGCTTACTCCGACTGTAATTTAACTCTTTTTTAAATAGTACTTTAGTACGTTTCATAGGTAATTATATAACTTTTATTACATTTATTTATCTTGAGCGTTACTTTTATGTTATTTTTAAGTCCCATGTGTAACTCCACCAAGGAGAGGAGATACAATGTGGGACTTTAAAAGAGACAAAAGCTAAAACAGGTAGCTTATGATAGAGAATTGTGACACATTAAAGACGAGTACATAAGTGCGCTTGTTTTTTAACTGTTGGGGCCATAATTTGTTAGAAGGCGACGCAGTTTTTGTAGCTTTTTTCTTTGTATATCACCACAATGTATTTTAAATCAGTTAAAGCGTGAGTGAAGTGCAGACTTTAAGCTTTAATTTGTATATTTAAATTAACTGCTTAGGACAGGTATATCAAACATAAGGCCCAATTGGCCCCTGGCCCCCGAATCGATTCCAAGCTGGCCTATTGGACAGGTTTGCCAAATCTGAGGGCATGTGGAAAATGGATTTTGAAATTTCACCTGTATTTTTGTAGGTTTCATTTGTGGCCGTTTGTAGTACACCAAAGTAAACAATTAAATGACCGAAAGCTTCCAAAAAAGGACCTTTGTTGTGGATTAATGAAAATCTTTTGCTTTATAAATACAGGACAGTCTGCACAATCTTCTGTTTCTTATATTAAGACATCTCAGGGATAATACATTAGTTAAAGTTCTTTACACTGGCAGAAAAGGCAGCTTCCAGTCCACCCCACTTAACATTAAAGTGAGCCACACATGGCAATTATTGATGTGGAAATTATTTCTATGGTTAAGAAAAACACAACAGCTAACACTGTGTGGGGCATTATTATGGCATGGGCATGTATGTCTGCCAGTGAAATCGGGTCACTAGTGTTTATTAATGATTTGACTGCTGGTGGAAGCAGCAGGATGAATTGTACTGCAGAAGTAGTCCCAGTTTCTCATGGCAAAGAAATGGGATATTTTTCAATGCCCAAGTTAAGCCACAATTTCAATCCACCTGACACAGTAAAGGCCTTAAAGAAGAATTCAAAGGAAGAAACGCAACATTTGGTGAGGTTCAAGATCGGAAAATGCAAAAGGATTTCATTCAACAATTAAAAACAGCCATTATGAAATTATGCTAGTCTAAGCCTCCGATGTATTAAAAGGTTGTAATTAGTTGACAGTCAATACAAATTATTGTTAATCACTTGAATTCAAGTCTTCAAAGTCTGCACATCAATCTTTGATTTAAAATCTACTACGGTGATTCACAGAGGCAAAACTACAAAGATTGTGTCTTTATTCAGCAAATTATGGATCTAACAGTATAAATGCACTCCAAGACAGCTGAGAGCTTCATGTGGACCAGCAGTAAAACACCACTTACACACTGATGTATTAGCAACAATCTAATAACCATATCCACGATGGGCAACATTTTTCACAAGCACTTTAAGTGTAACAAATAATTAATTTTAGTAGAGAGAGCATAATAAAAGGCTTGTTCAAGTAGCTTTAGATTATTAAACAGGTTTATTACCTATATGACTGTACAGTATGTACTAATATACATCCAGAAGCTGCATAAAAATTAAATTGATAAAACTTCTTGAATGCAATTTTGTACAGCAACAGAATTTCTTTTCAGTTGCAGATTAATTAGAAAAAACTGAATGAGGCTTTAAAAAAATAAATAAATGTGCACTAGTTTGACAGTATACCTAAAAAAAGAAAAAAAGGCTAAATGAGTTCTTATTTGTATGTTTTATTTTTTGCTTTACTACAAAAAACAAAAACAAAAAAAACAGTCCCAGCAATATTTTTGCATCATCTGATTAAAAAAAAACAAAACAAACACAAAAACTACTACAGTTAAATACAAAATGAAATATACCAAAACTACCCAATGCTACCCAGAAAGAAAGAAAGAAAAACAGGCACGAGTATAAAATAAAATATCTGGAAGTCTACAACTACAAACAAAAAGTTAGAAAAACGTTACTTAAAAAGAAGGCAAGTATCCACCACAAAATGTGCCACTTTACCACAATCAGCTTGCACATCTTTCCTCGAATATAAAGTAATGCAAATACTTTACAATAAGTTAACGCAGGCGCATCTCCCTATGACTACAGCAAAACCAAGTAACAGTCTAATGTATCACATGGAAATACACTTTTTTTTCTCCTTTTTTATTTTTGGCAACAGTTTCAACACATCACACAGAGAAATCAATCTAAGACTTCTGGGTAGCAATGTTTTTGTTTTATGTTATTTTCTTGTTTTTCTTTTCTTCTTTTGGTTTCTTGAGAACATATGTTGTGTCCACAACATCACACACTGCCTGCATGAGTTTCAGAGGCTTACAAACTGTATACTATGTATTCAAATCATATAAATATATATTTATATATATATATATGTGTGTGTATATATATGAACAAAAATATACTAAAACTATTTGTAATACAAAATGATTTAATGCCAAATGGAAGCTTACGATAGAAACTTCAATAACTTAAAAAAATGAATATGTTGATACTTTTCAGAAACATGACAATTTAGCCCTAATCTCCTTAATACAAAGGCTTTTGCGTTTGTTTTACTTTTTAAATTCTTGTTCACACAGCACTGGCAAAACAGCACTCCCCCTAGTGCCAAGAATGCGTCAAGTATAAATACTAAGAAAACACCTGTACAGTACTGATTCCTGTCAAACCTACAAAATAAGTTAATGTCAGCCAACTGTACACAGTATTTACATTTACAATACAAATGGAGCTGACTTGAGAATGTAAAGATAACCATAACATCAACACAGGCTTTGGCCACAAATTTGATGCCAGTGAAAAGCCTCTGTGAAAGCATGAAATGTACGATCTCGACCACTTGAGAAGTTTTGCGGCCCAATTTTGGTGTGAGGACGACTGTGGCTGGATGCCAAATTAACGGTTTAAAGTTTAAGTCAGTGTGACAGTTTTCGTTTTACTCCGAGTCTTGACACCACAGACTGATTTGGTAAAAGGCTACCAAAAACGTATGAAATTAATCACTGACACTTTTTTTTTTTTGCCTTGAAATGATAAATCGACAGTCATGGGTGACTAGAGTGAGGGTGGCAAGGTGGGATGACAAAAATAGCAGTCTCTAAGCATGGAGGTGGTGAGGAGAGATCGACACATTCATTTCAGCAGCAGCCGTATCCCGTCGGGACGTGGTAGGAGTGTGTACAGACAGGAATGGATAAGGAAGAGACACCACCTGTTACAGCAGGTGCCCAGTAAACATTTCAGTCTCCTGCAGAGACAGAGGGGGTCCAGGATGGATGCGAGGGTGAGGGTAGTCACAAGCTATTTGGTACAGGAGAGGTACAAATCTGTGTGTGTGGCAGAGAGTCAGAGTCAGTCTACGTCGCTGAGGTCGCTGACTGGCTCGTCCTGCACTATGCTCAGGTGGTTCATGGCGCGGCTGAAGGCGATCTGGACAGCCTTACGGATGCTGGATGTGCGTCCTTCCATCATTTTAATCTTGTCTATGGTCTTGTCTATCCCCAGAGGAACCATCTTGGATCTAGGAAGCCATTGCCTGAAGGGGAAAGCAACACTAATGTCACATCATTGGAAGAGCAGCTAGAGGTCATTGTTTCCTATGATTCCTGACAGGAAAATAGCACCCTGCTCACAGGAAAAAGCAGGAGAAAAGCTAAAAACACAACCTTAACATGACAACAACCATATATATTCTGGGTTTTGTTTATTTATTTTAAAGTAACTGACCACAAAAAACTCTTTAAAAAAAATGTAATATTTATGGAATACAATAAGCATCTATAATCATTTTCCCCTTCACAAACAGCTTTAATTATGACCGTTTTATCATTATTAGAAATGTTAATGTCTACACTGGCCCTGCGACATATCAGCAAATATCTTGGTATTTACCAGCATCATATCAACTTTGTGCTTGGTTTAAAAAAAAAAGAAAGAAAAAGATGTGAAGAAGAGCTGAAAGACTAACACAGGTCAGTTCTGTCTAATATAGAAAATGTTCTTGTAAGAAAGCACAAAAAAATAAATTTTGCAATCAGTGCATCCCAAGTGTACATACAGGAAAGCTAAAAGGTTTTCTGCACGGTAACGGGAGTCATGCCAAAATAAATGTGCGTGTTTAGGAAGGTGTGAGGTTTTGCAGGGTTTTTTGTACACTATTTAAATGATCCAACTACCCACTTTACCGACTGATAAATACAGACACTGGCACTCACCAACTGCGCTTGTTGTCGAAGAAGAGGACGAGGTAGAGTTTCTCTTCTGCTTTGTACTGCATCTGTTCTCCAATGCGCAGCACGTCCAGGGGAGGCATGGGGATGGAGACCCCATTGTGCTGGCAGCCCACACGTGGCATGTGGGGGTCGATGATCTATTTGCAGTAGGGGAGGTAAAAGGGGACGTTACAAACACACACACTTATAAAACAAATGCAAAGATATAGCAGAGAGACGTTTGCAATTTACACACACATGCACCTCCACTACCAGCTTGTGCCACTAAAATTTTGCTTCCTCATTTGTCTCTTCATGCAAAGCTCAAATTGCTGGTTTACAGAGAAATGCTGCCACCTAGAGCAAAAACTGAATATTTTTACAAGCAGCAATCTAGCCACCTTGCTGCTGAAAACAACAGCTGTACTGAAAGGATTGCTTCGTCCTGTGGATAAAAGTGTCATAAATTTGCTATCAGTGTGTCCTCAGACTGGGAAGGAGGCAAGAAAACGTCAGAATAAAAAGATTACAGTCAGCGACTGTCATGCTTTCTCTCCCACAAGCACTCACCAAGGCAGGGTAGGAAGGGTATCCACTACATTTGGCCCAAACTAGCTTTAGGGGTTCCAATGCAACAGTTGCAGCACTAGCAGGCATCCAAATATTGCTGTTGCCAACCTCTATGGAAGTGGGAACAACACCAGACAAGTTATGTGTGAGAGTTTAAACGCACACAGAAACACATTTCAAAAAAAATAAAGCCATGCTGCAAGTGCAGGGGCACCAAATCAGGGTGGGAAATTAACTTTGGGAGCCACGGTGAGAGACAGATATTAAAATTTACCAGCCACCCTCAGCTGTTAATTAACCAAAAGGGAATTTCAGATGAGGGCCGAGTCTCCAGATGCTGACTGGTTAGATGCCACGGTGGCAGCAGCGTATAAAGACTAGCCAGTCAGTGCCAAAATTCACAAGAACTTGGCTGGTAGCTGCAGTTAATTTCCAACCCTGATTTTATATGTATGTATGAATACCAGGTGTCTGCTGGTTAAATCAAGTTAAACCTCTGAGAGTGCTTTAACACACAGTAGCACAAAAACACAGTTCAGCCACATTATTTAATTTCAGAGACGTTTTGAAACGCACGGGACCAGCAGACAACTGGGAGTATACATAACGATGTTACTTACTAGTCGTACCAATTCAAACAGACTACAATACATATGTTGTTAATGTTGTTAATATAATCCCATTTTCACATATTTACACTGGATTGTCACGATACACACTGTATATTTTGGTCAAGAAGAAATTGGAGCCTTTTAACCCTTTAATACCAAGTTAATCATATTTTATGCAGGAGTTTTAATTTTTTTTCCTGAGAAGGCTGCAAATTCACACGTTCACATATAATCAACCATGTCAACGACTCATTTTGAATGCCTTTTGAAAAAGAAAAAAAATCTATTGTTATTCAGTTTTTTATTTTGCACTTGCCTTATTAAGAAACAGTTAATAGCCTGGAGGCATGGCTGACAAGAGCAAATAAAAGAAACTCCCTAAATGTAGGCTATCAGTTAACCTGCCATTGTCTGTCATATGTTTAGTTAAGGGTAATGTTTTAATCTAATTAACAGGAATTTTATCGCCACTTTTTCAAAACCATGCTGATTCTCATCCAATTAGTTTTTTTGCTTTAATCCCATCTGGTTGCAGTTTAACAATAAAAGCTGTCTTTAATATTTGAAATGAATACTAGGCTCCCCAAACACCAGCTTTGTCAAAAATAAACTTCTCTAAAGGGATCTTAGTTTCTGCTTTTAAGGTAAATGACCTGCTCGGCATTGTTTTCAACATTATTAATCTTTGGCTCTATTCTACAGTGTGTCTTTTTCCCCGTCTCCCTCCCCTCACCACCAACCGTTCACAGCAGCCTGGAGCTGCCAGAGGTTTCTTCCTGTTAAAAACAAGTTTTTTCCCCACTGTCACCAAGTGCTTTGCTCACAGGGGGCAGTCTGATTCTTGGAGCTTCTTTGTATAACTTAGAGCAGAGGTTGGGGAAATCCAGGCCTCAAGGGCCATTGTCCTGCAGGTTTAAGATGTGTCTTTGATCCAACACAGCTGATTTAAATGCCTACATTACCTCCTCAACATGTCTTGAAGTTCTCCAGAGGCCTGGTAACGAACTAATCATTTGATTCAGGTGTGTTGACCCAGGGTGATATCTAAAACCTGCGGGACACCGGCCCCTGAGGACTGGAGTTCCCCACCCCTGACTTAGAGGACATTTATCTTACAATAAAGCACCTTGAGGTGACTATTACTGTGATTTTGGATATATAAATAAAACTGAACAGAATTGAAAAGACTGATAATAACCAAGTTTAAAGACTACTCGTAAAATCTGTTTACACCCTAAAGTTGTTTAAAAAAAAAAAACCAACTTTCCTCTCTGTTGTTAACCCAGTTTCACTATGGTTTTAATCGATTTTGTTTGCAGGACTGAGTAAGTTAATAAAGTATATTACAATTTAAAATAGTTAATATTTGTATTTCTGTGAAAGATGTCTACCCACTCCCCAGACATGCATTTAAATTCTTTTGACAATCTGGTCACGTTACCAGCAGCGATTCGTGCGGCTTTTGCAAAATTCCCAGTTTCGATGCAGGCGATTAATTCGCTCTTGTCATCCACAGTGTTTCTCCGGACTAAGGCGGGTTTTCCCTTCCCACATTTTGGAAGACTGAGAATGGTGCTAAAAGCAAAACACAAGCAAAAACACAACACAAAGTCAACTTTCAAAAATATCTGGTGGCACGCATGCTTTGATAATACAGATCAGATACACAGCTGCCTGAACAGGCAAACTGCCTGCAGCAGGCCTGTGTTACATTATCTGCTGCTTCTTCATTTGTATTCAGCTGCAGATTATCGATGGGGAGGGGAACAAAAATTTGTACCTGGTGTTTCCCTGCAGACTGCTACATGAGGATATGGATGACTCAGAGGCGCAGCGTCTTCGAGGCTCCACAGGTCTACTAGTTCTGCTGGTTTCTTCTACTTTTTTCTGCTCCTCGACCTGAAGAGCACCACTTGGCAGGCCTAAAAGAAGAATTCCAAAAATATTAGACTGAGATCTAAAGGCCACAATCTTAAAACCAACAACTCCTGTCATATGACGATGATCAAGCTACAGATTGTTAAGCCATTCTCTGACTAAAGCCAACAGATAAAAAGGAGTAAACAAGGGAAGTTAATTAGAACTGACTGAGATGACTTTTATGAAAACTCTCTGCATTGTTTGTGATGATAGATTAAGAGGTTGGAGGTATAGCTCAATATTAATGTAGTAATTTAATCAGAACCTTTCTATTTCTTTAATACCAGAACACAAAAGCAGAATTTACCCCATGTAAGAACGTTAAAACAAGAGACCACATGCAGAATCAATCAATGTTTATTTAAAATCTTGTGTTTTCAGAGGACTTCCTCAGTAAACTTCTCACCAGTGTCGAGTCGTTTAACTGGAGACTCGCCCGACTCTTCACGCTCTTCCTCTCCTCCCTCATCCTCTGCATCCCTGCTGCCGCTGTGCTTCCTCTTCTTGCCATGAAGCAGAGTCTCCAGCCTGGGTATGACCACTGACAGGAAGGACTTGGAACCTAGCTGTGCGTCATCTTCATCTTGCTCCTCCTCGCCCTCTTTTCCGTCAGTCCTGTCGGACTCTTCGTCTCCGCTCCTGGGTAGCTTCTGCGGGCTGGCTGCCTTCGACTTGCGGAAGAGAACGGCGGTTCTGCGGTTAACCGCGCCTGTGGGCTCTGCGAGGGTCGACGTTGCCACCACGCTCACGTCACCTTCTAACAAAGGGTCCTGGAGGCTGTTGTGTGCGTGCCCATTGAGGCATGCGGGAGAGGAGAGCAGGTCTGGTATTTCCCCATCCAGCTTGGCTCGCTTGCCATGAACCTTGTCTTCACAGTCAGGGGCGGCATCTATTGGTTTTAGGGTGGGGGGTTCGGGATCTGTGTCTGAGTGGATGAGGGGAGGAATGGTATCCGATGGCTCCAGTTTTGGAGGAAGAGACTTATCTCCTGTGGGGGCAGCGAATGAAACAATAAACAGTGGTGAGCTTTATTATCACACAGGGTTCTAACAGTGTAGTGATAGCTCAGTCGCCTGCCAGGCTTAAGTGAACCACTAAGCACAGTGGATATTTTTTAAAGACCAAAGCAACTACTATTTCGTTAGCTACTGTATAGGTCTCTCTGTGTCTCTCCTCCTGGGTGCAGGACTGTTCTGGCTGAGGCACTGCACAATTACCAATTAGCATTACAGTGATGGAGAGCTGCGCATGAGTCAAATACAAAATTAAACTATATATGAACCACTAGCGCTTCCCAGTGCTGCAGCAGCAGACGGGTCTAACAGTATTCCTTGTGGAAAAATGATTTTAAACATCTACGTTTTATACATTGTATTTAATGTAAAGGAATGTTAAATTACTAACCACTGACACAATGAGTTCAACTTACAGTCCCACGTGTATAAATACTGTTTTTATACCATCTTATAAAAAAACAAAATGTAATCCTAAAGCGTCCCTGACAGAGACCTTTCACTAACAATAATTTGCTGCAGTGCCCACACTTTCTCCTTGTGTTTGCACAAATGCTGATGTTGCACATTATTATATGACCTTTCGTTTATCATACAAGTAAAACAAGCAGTGTTTAGCATAAACAGGGTGATCTTTATAAGAAAAATGAACAATGAATTTTTCCTTTGCACTAGCCCATTGTAATGCCATCTTTGAATTGCAAACTCTTAATTTCAGTAAGTGGCTTTAAGCTTGAGGAAGCCACTGTGTGTGTGTGTGTGCGTGTATGTTCGTGTCAAAAGATGCTGGAAGGTTATTTTTCCATAGGTGTGGACAATGCCGCTTCCTCAGACCCATTCAGGGATGTGTTCCAAGAGGGAACACACGAGTGTTTTCGGGATTTAGCAATAACACCTTTTATCTGATGCTAAAGCACAACCACCACTGACAAGTAAACCTCGAGTTGTTCCGATTTGGTTCAGCGAGTCGGAATAAAGACTTCGCAAATCGCTTTGTGTATCAGAAAGCTCTTTGAACAATTCTAGTTTTAAAGTTTAGCCATCCTTGACAGAGTATAGATCAAAGCTAGTGAGTTTTGTTTTTCACACATCTACAGTTTTTTTAACCACATGTGAAACTCTTCCTGAATAAAAATGAAACAATACTGTATTTTGATACATTTTGTTTCTACAGTCAGACTCGTGGGAGTCTGCAGTAACTATTTAGTGTTTTATTTCATATTATTTATTTATCAAAACATACACTCATGGTGTGCTTAAACCAAGGAACATTTCTGTGACTGAAATTAGAGGGGAGAGGGTGCAAATGTCTGAGCATCTTTTTTCTCTCCTTACATTCAGGTCAATTTTTATGCACCAATTTGTGGCTTTTCTACTGCAGTCTTTTTGGTCACATGTTCCAAAACCCTGGACTTGAATAGCTTGTATGGGTTTCTTCGAGATTGCTGCTTATGTTCAATGACGTTTAGCATAGTAACAAAATCCTAATCACATGTTTCAGATATGTTAGTCAAACTATTATTTTACAATTAGTGAGCAAATAAGGAAGGAACCAATCCAAGTTTGAAAAATATCACCTAATAGATAGCTTTGTTGTATTTGAATGTTTTATTATGGATACCTATGATTACACAAAGCACATACAAATGTTATTATTAAATGAGTAGGGGATACTGGTCTCCTGTGGCTGTAAACATACATAGTTAGCCATCATCTTGCTGGATGACAAGACTGTTTTTGGGACCAAAATTCAGATAAATGCAGCAACACATGTGTTTTAGTATTATAGGTAGCAGCGTATGTATTGAGCCTGCAGTTCTCCTAGGAAATGACAGGGGCCGCCTACACCTTTAAGGAGTCTAATCTAGCCTCACAAAATTAAGAGGGGGGGGACACCACAAATAGTATAGATACCACAATAGCTCCACTCCAATTTGCTGATAACAAAGACAGTAAGAGTCGGGTATGAAAATATTTTTCTTGTTGTCCATTTTGTTTGTTATTGTGAAATCTGCTTTGTTCCATAGGCTAGAATGTTTACAATGCCTAACAATAGTTTTTGTTGGGTTCTTTGCAGCCACGTGACCGTGAGCCATGTGATGTTCAATTGTCTGCCATTTCGATGAGTGTGACAGTGTAGTGACAGAGAATAAAGTGGCTGTTACACAGAGTAGTCTGGTGCATGACCATCTGGCAGCCACTGGTCGCTAGGAAAAACATGTACTCTCTGACCAAGTGGGAGAAAGCCTCCTTGGGATTGTTTTGCTCACTTACAGATATCTGCATTTACCTGCCACTAGCAGGAAATATGCAGACTTGTCTGAGAACGCTTGAGAAAGTTTGACTTCAAAGTAAAAGCTGTGTCTCAGGGCTGCAGCCAACACGTGCAACTTTTACTTTGTAACTGAGTTTTCTTCCTTTCTGGTTTGTGTGACATTTTTTAGCATCCCTCAGCTAATAGTTAGAGAATGTTTGCAGACAAAGGCACATCACAGGTGACTGGAACAAAGCAACCACATGGAGGATGACTGTATGTTTGGGGATGTGTAAACATTCTACCCAGCAGCAGACAGCATCCAGTCTGTCACCAACATGTCAGTGGATTTAACACGAGTAATTACTACTCATTTTGACACTGATTACTACACTCCTGTATTGTAACCTCTCTACTAGAAATATATCTATTTATCTGTCCATTTATGAATTTGAAAAAGCTTCCTGGGTGGAAAAATTACTAAATTTTACTCTAAACTTGTGTTAAAAATTAATATAAAGTAGCTAATTGTTAGAAAATAATATAATAATCAAAATGCTCTAAGAGTTTTCACCTCATCAACATAGTATACAATTTACAAACATCACCATATCTGAAATAAATGCTCACTTCCATATAAACAGAGCAGGTTTCATAATCATTCTTAAAACTAAACTGTGATATTGTGATTTTCCCGTCCTCCCGACATGCTTTATAGACAGATCATCATGGGACTTTCTGGTTGTGGTTAGGCTAGGTTAAGACTTAGGTCTGACCTTTGACCTATACTCGTGATTCTCTTTACAATCGCAGAGACTGTGACGACCAGTGGGTCAAGCAGAAAACCAACTTCAGAATAAAGCAGTCACACATACCGTCATCCTCGGAGAAATGCCCATTGGGCTTCAGTCTTTCTTCCTTAGCTGTAACCAGCTCTGGGAGGGAGAGAGCTGTTGAAGACGATGCTGAAGTGGTTGGAGATGACGAGGAAGAACAGTGGTGGTGAGAGGGTAGAACTCTCTTCAGGCTCATTTCGTTGCGCACATCATTGATGGTCTTTTTCAGCAACTTGAGCCGCTTGCTGCGGGAGGGGCTGGACTTCATGGCACAGGTGAGATCAAACTTCTCAAGTAGCTGCTGCAGCTGCTTGTCCAGAGGCAGCTGCTCCCGATTAGCTGGTACTAGTAAACGGTCCACTATGAAGAGAATTAAAACAAAAAACAAACAAGGAATCATTAGAAGATATAAAGTAGTTATGGTTAATCTAACTAGTTAACCAGAGAGGCGTGCTCTTCCCTTACCATCCTCCCAAGAAAACGATGGTGGTGCTTTGACTTCCGGAGCATCTGCAAAATGCATGCCGCTCTCCGTGTCAAAGCCGATTTTCTCTGCATCTCGACGGGCCTTTCTGAGCAAGGCCCCACCCTGGTCTCGGAGTCGCACAGCAGCCCGATAGAAGTAGGTGTCCTTTGAGTTATATTTCATACAATTTTCAATAATGAGGTTAAAGTCATCCTCAAATGTATCAAAGTTGTTGTAGCCTTGGGCATCGATGCGTTTCCGCATGGTGGAAAAGTCCATCGGGTGTTTGATGTGGTCGAGATAATCAGGCACCTACGAGAAAGCATCAGAAATATGAATATTTTGTAAATTACTTTTAATAATGTTTAAAAAAATTAAGCAATGTTTGAACTTGGCTTTTTAAATTAAAGATTCTTGACAGCAATTCAACCATGTAGAAATTCCACCCACCCAATAACAGAGTCTATTCCAAGAATCAGGAACCTACTCAAACAGAATCAAGATCAAAACCTGCGCCCAACGTGGGGCTCGAACCCACGACCCTGAGATTAAGAGTCTCATGCTCTACCGACTGAGCTAGCCGGGCTTATGAGGAAGAGCACCCTTCACCTCCAAGGCCTCCCGACCATGCAGCAGACCATGAGCTCTTGTTACACATTCACCCTAACAGGAAGTCACATTGCTTAACACTTTTACAGAATGGGGGGTGGGGTGGAGTAATGTCTAACATGAGTCACAGAGATCAGAACATGTGACTGGAGCAAGCAGTTGAGCGCTGGTTGCTTGCGTGAAGCTTCTAACAAATGTTTGAGAAAATGCAGAACAGAAAATTCTTTAGTAATTTTAAAAAGTCTTATTTTGTGTGCCGACGATTTATAGTCAAGATGTTCACAGACATAAAATGTACTTTACCAGAGTACAAAAGTGATCTAATTGACTTCCACAAATAATTTATGTCAATGTACCATTTCTGGTACACTCATCTGACAGTCAGGAAAAGGAACTAAAGGCAAAACACAAGGGAAAGTGTAGAAATCTGAACCAATAAGCCAAGTTTGAAGCTTTGTCAAACAGCATGGCAGCTAAATTGCACATTTAAATTTTTTCTTTTTCTTTAATGGACCCATTATGATCGCTTTTAAATCCATGGCATTATTCTTCAGCTCAACTAGATTAACAGTTAAGAACAACCAATATTTATCATTCACTGGATCTTGGTGCAGCTGCTAGGTTCAAGCTCCCTGCTCCCTCCCTTAAAGCCAGTTTTCTTGTTATTGGCTGCCCCTCACAGACAAAATGTCTAGATGGCAGGCTGATGGGGCTGCTGTGCTCACACCCTGATTGATGTGCCTGGGATTTAATATATGCCCTATCCATGATATTATTAACATTCCAGGGGGAGAAAAATGTCTAAAATTGTCCGTTTTAAGCAGTCTGAAGTCTGAGTAACTGTCTCACTTTCTCACACAAGTCTAATATGAGCTGCCACAACTGTAACAATAAGCCCTCTTTATAGCCAAATTTTACAGTTCTTTTGACCAATAGTCTTCTGGCATCTTAACTCCCTCTGTTCTCTTTTTTCCCCTTCAGCTTCAACAAGTTGCAGCAGATGGCTGCCCCTCCCTCAGCCTGGTTCAGTCAGAGGTTTCTTCCTTTTAAAAAGGAGTTTTTCCTTCCCACTGTCACCAAGTGCTTGCTCATAGGGAGTTGTCAGATTGTTGTGGTTTCCCTCTGACATTGTAGGATCTTCATCCTACAATACAAAATGCCTTGAGGCAGCAGTTTTTGTGATCTCAACCAGCACACACCTTAACTATCTATCTGTCAGGGTGTTGCCAGATATTACAGTTGTTCCTACAAGCATGTCAGCACTTTTTCTTATCCACTATTCTTCTTCAGGGAGCTGGCAAAATGATACATGGCACATCCCATGTGTTATTCAGTGTTTGAATTGTATGTGTCATTAGTGATAACACAGCAACAAGGCAGAGCCAGAAAGAAGCCTACAGCTTTAAACTTCTGCACAGAATAATTAACAGTACTACAGTGTGAATCAAAGTACAATCATAAATAGAATAGATTGAAAGTGTTTGAATATCTGCTGCAGATCACCTCAGTGACATCGACAGGCTGGGTGAAGATCCTGGCCTGATCTTTTGCCTGGAGTTGGTCCAAGAGGGCTCTGAGCAAAATGCTAAAGGGTGTTAACTGCATCTCTAGAAGCGTCTCCTGCAGTTTAATCTACAAGAAAACACAAAAGATAACAGTGAGCATCATCACATTTCTGTTTTGTTTGAACTTTTTCTTAAGATATTAAGACAAGCACAACTCTGCCCAACCATGCATCACTCCCCTGTCCTTACCTCTTCCCGCTTGAGCTTCTCCCTCTTGCGAATTAGTTCCAGCAGCAGTCTGGTTCTCTCTAGGTCATGTCGGAGGCGGTGCCATTCCTTCAGCTGTTCCTTAAGTGCCCTGCTTTCCTCTTCACTCTGCCTCTGGGGAACGCATGGAAATAAAATAAAAAATATAAGGCACATAAAAGAACTGAACACCAGAAAATTATCAACTTGCACAAATTCTCAACAAACAAATGCAACAGCAACTTCTTTCATTTGGCACATAAGATGTCCATTTCACAGCAAACTGCTATTGATTCACACAGCATGGTCAAAAATCTCATTAACACAAGCAATAAAGTGTTGAACGAAAACATTAAATTGTAACAAAAGCATAATTTATGACTGTGCAAATAATGAGACAACATATTTGAAAACCTTGGGAAAAAGATAAATGAAGGCTACAAGTCTTGTGCGCTTAACTGACAGAGGAACAAACCGGTTGCACATTCTTCTGTGACTGCAGTCTTGTCTGAAGGCGTCTGATGAGGGGCAACCCATTCCTGGACTGCCTTTTCAGTCTCCAGTAACTGAGGACCAGCTCTACAAAGACTTTCTTCTTCTGTATTGATACTTGATTCAGAATGGTTTGTAACCTAGAGGGATGAAAATGAGGGATTTTAGAAAACCAAAGCCATTTCCCACTTAAGTAGACGGTTAAAAAAAAATATACCTGTGAGCAGGAAAAGTAGGCACAGTAGCAGGCGGTACAGCTTCACTTTCCACATCAGGCTCGGGCTTCTTGCTCTTACTCTTCCGTTTCTGTTTTCCTTTGGACTGCCCTTTGCCCTTGTCCCCTATCTTACAAAGTCCATTTCTGAGTTTGGCTTCATCATACATGGCAAGAGGTCTCCTCACACACCCGTTAGGTGTGTGGGCGCCACAGTAGGCCGTCTTTTTCACAGAGAAGGTGGGCTCTCCTGTTTCTGTCACCTCTTTGATCGGCTCCATCTTCATGAATAGACCAGCCTTTTGGGCACAGCTGACATGGAAGGCAGTGTAACAGTTGGCTTTGTGGCACTGGATGCAAGCGCCGACCCCTTTCTCCTTGCAGAGGTAGCACGTGAGCTTCCAGCGTGCTGGAGGAATGTGGCTGATGCCGTCGATGGGCTCAATGAAGGTGGTATTGGAGAAGCCCACCTCTGGGACCCAGAGGGCACAGACTACATGGCCCCAGCGGTCATCATCAGTCTTTTTTACTGCTCCGCCCTTATTAGGGCAAAGGATGCACTCTGCTGGCTGAGTCGGCAACTGAAGGCAGTGTCTACAGTGCCACTGACCCTCGGGAATGTAGGGCACTCCGTAACACTCTTGGTGTACGGCCACGTTGCACATGTCACAAAACAGGATCGCGTTGCTGTTGTGACACTCTCCATCCATGCAGATGCAGCAGACAGCATCATCATCGATAGGAGCTTGCCTTTCGCTCCCTTTGTCCAGACTTTCCAGGTACAATTCTTTCTCAAAGCGATCAATAAGGAACTCAAAAACATTGTGAGACACTTGACTAACCCCTTCGCTTCGTCGTTTTTCATTGACCAAATCCAGCCAGGCATAATCTTCTTCATCCATGTCATACTCTGTTTCCTCATCTAGTTCTTCCTCCGTCTTATCTATATATTTATAAAAGGCAGATGGGCGTTTAGGAACAGCTGGAAGATTATATTCTACAGTTCGGAATTTAGGCTCTGGAAGTTTTGGGCTAGAGTGGCTACCAGCGTGGTGTCCACCTCCCTCTACATGGCCTGCAATGGCAAGTGCGGCATTCTTCTTCTCCTTGTTTTTCAGTCTCACTGACCTCAGGAGGACCTGCTGCTTTGATTTTTCCGCATTCTCCTTATTGCTGGTGCATTCCATTATCTCTTGCACCATGGGGTCATCATCCGAGATCACGTCCAGCTTGTCATATATGCTGAGCCGGTGGATGCGGCCATCGAGTTCGAACTCTACCATGCGCTGCGCCTGGGCATAGGTCAAGATCTGCTTGTTGGGCGAGGGCTTGATAGGAGACGGCGGCCTCTGCACCGCAACCCGGTGCTGCCGAGCCTTCTTCTTCATCTTGACGCTCCGTGTTGCTGTGGAGATACACGACAGGGATAGCGGTTAGACATGTGTATGGGATGCCTGGAAGCATCCCAGTTTAATTTTCAAATAAAGGTAATAACAGTTACATTAGAAAATTTGGTTTTTACCTAATCACAGTAAAATACAATAATTTCAATGCAAACTTAAAGACAGACTTAATTCTCTGATACAGCTTCTTTTATAAAGTGTAAACACGCAAATAAGACGTCTGGTAAAAATAAGTGTACCTGTTTAACTGACAACAAGCAACATCTTCTTATTTCTTATTCCAAGTTATGTCTTTTAAATGAGAACGGGGGGGGGGAGGGGGAGTTCAACACTTTGTGGGTTAAATGTATTAGAAAGTAACAGAGTTTTGGTGACTAAGAGGGCAAAAGAAACTTACAGCTTTCACCGATGCCCCTGCCCCCCCAAAACACAGATTAGCTGTTGTAAATCAGAACATAGCAGCCAGTTTTTACGTTACAATTTCGTCAATGAGCCCATGCATTTAAATGGGGGAGGGAGGCGGTTTCACTGGGCAATATGGGAGCGCAGGAGTTAGCACTTGCCCATTTGCTGCAGAGGTGTAACGCCTTTTCAGCAAGGACTCGCAGCCAAAGTAGCCAATGTGCTAACAATAACATTAGCTAGCCAGCTAACTAGCAGACGGAGCTAACCGTCCGCTGAACGGAGCGAATCGCGTAAAAAACAAAAACAAAAAAAACAGTAGCCCTTAAAAGGCCGCACTATAGCTAGTTAAGCCTATACATGTTTTTTCTTTTTGCATTTGCACAACATGCCCCCTTTTCGCCAACGCACCGACCACAGCATAGCAAATAAAACCCAGCACATACCTCAAATTCACGAACAGTTTTGCTAGCCAGCAGTCCTACAAAGCAATGGCAATACGGCCTACTAAGTGGCGCTAATTCCGGGCACAATGTTCTCATCCAACGGGCGATACGGGGCTCTTTTCAGTTGCTAATAAAAGAGGAAGAGGCCGCTTTGTACCTTGAAGTTTCGATATTAAACTCTACACAAAGCACACAAGTATTTGCTGTGTGGGCCATTCACAGGCTAGAGTCACTCGTTAGCCACAGTCGAGCAGAGGCAAATAGCAGTAAGAGCAGCAGCCGCACGAACGGATCATCCCCCAACACAACAATGCGTTTCAGCAGACAACTCCCACCCGTACGCACCGGTCTACGTGTGACGCTGGAGGTCATGTCTGTGGTGAGTCGTAGATTTCACACAAAAGCCCATCTGTCACACAATCAGTGCGTTGCCTTTTGTAATAACCATACTAGCATTGCAAAGACAAAGCTGCAAACCTAACAAAGCGCGAATACGGACAGTAGAGCTGTGTAAGGAAAGCTGAGACATGTCTGTTTTGACTCTGGGGGCCGTGGCTATCAAGTCATAAGAGCAGCGGATAAGAAGACTTTCAGAGTGTCATGCCTGTCTGTCATGCTCTGGGGTTATTATTTGCTCTTGTAGTAATAGAGGACAGGTTGGAGGACACAAGCAGAACAACATGCCACACCCCAGTGACCGGTCCGCTGGACCCAGACGTCTTTTTTAAGGGCAAGAACCCCCCCCTCGGTTTAGCGCAGTTATAATTTGCATTGATTAAAATATTTTGCATTTACTTTTTCTTTTGGACCCCAACGTGGCACTCCAGACCGTGAACGCAACACACGCGAAAAGTTATTAATTAACTGATTTATTATTTCGCAATAACAAATGGATGTGTTAGTTTTTTGTCCTGTTACACCTGCAGCATGCGTAGATTTCTAAAAAAAATCTAATTATTTTAATTTCTGTGAAAATAGGTTATTAGGTGGTGTAAACGGGTCGACAAGTTAACTGAATATGCAAATGAAGTAATTGAATCTATCATTAGAACGGACTAGTTAAACATTTCTGTTTATAATTAGTGAAAAGTCAAAGTAAAACACCGTGTTATATAACTTAATACTAAAATTTATTACCCCCTTCGCCATACTGGAGACCCAGTGCCCGGTGACATCATTAAAACCTGTTCCTTCCGTCCGTCGCTGTGTGGAGCTGCTTCGGCCGAACGCGAACTGCTAGCAAACCAGGAGACAAAAGCAACAAAAGTGAACCCCCCTCCGGATCAATCAAATGTGTCATATTTAACCGTTTAGGAACCGAAACCCAGTGAACAAGTCGCTGTACTCAACAGTAAGTATACCGAACTCGCATGCGTGTGTGAAAGGGGCTGAATGTGGTGAAGACGTCGCGGTGACTCTAGGTCTGATTCGGATCCCGTGTGGTTCGTGTGTCGCCACGGCTGGGTTCTGCCTCGCCAGGTTAGCTAGTGTGTCCTGTGTGTGGCCTAGCTGGCAGCTAACCAGCTAGCAGTCATGGTGTGGTCCGAAATGTGCTGAACGTGTTCCTCGGGGTAATGCAAGGCTAATAAGATAGTTGTAAATGCTGTTATTTTTTGTGATACAAATCCACGCCACACAAGTGTTGTGTCTGCGTGGTTTTTTGTCTGTTATTAGCCTTGCGGCTAAGACAGTTAGCACCAGGATAGCCACCGTGGTGTTTACTGATGATGTAGCATAACTGCCAGTAATGTTTATTATAGAACGTATTGGCATATATTGGTGGTGCAAGTTTAATGGTAAGTGTGACTTTTTGTTCGTTAGGGGTCGAGTCGAAAGCCGGTGTGTAAATACCTATTCACAAGTTCTCTGCTAAGAGAAGATGCAGGCTAGTTAGCGTTGGCTATTTCTGCTGTCCTCTCGCATCTTCCTGACTAGCGCTTTAGCCAAACCCGGAAAACTGGTTTGCCACTGCTCACGTAGATAATTACTTGGTTACATTTGTTACATTTAAAAGCCCCATCTCGTACTAGTATTTCGTTTTAACGTTGGTTGTTTTTGGACACATTTTAATGTGTGATTTATATCTAATCTAAATGTGAATTTTAGATATATTTTTCTCTTTTTTTGTTTGTTTTACTTTGTATTAGAAAGCTCATATTTAAAATAACCAGATTTACATTTGAGCAAGTACTTAAGCTAATGTTCTCAGAGCTGATGTATTATTTTAGTTGCACACATTTGGGTGTTAACACTGAGTGAGGAAAAATTGCTTCAGCACTGACCCTAGTTTCTTTTATTTGGTTTACACAGCATTCTCTCAGTTAGCTGGCACATAGAGGCACTATGTTATTATATGTTATTATAAATTTGGCAGTAAATATTACTGCCGAATTTTACCGAGGTAATGGAACAGAGGCATAACATTAATTTGTCATTCCTAATGGACCGCATTAGACCTGACCCCATGGCCTATTATGTGTCTGCAGTTAGGTTGAATTATATTTTTTTTTAACACCTTTCAGAATGAAAATGCCTCCACCAATAAGGCTCAAGGGGCTCACAGGAATGATTTTAATATTGAAAGTATGAATGAATCCTATGCTATGGCTTTCCTAGTAACTGAATATAACACTCGAGGGAGATCTTGTGCTGATGTGATAGAAAGCTACCTTTATGAAAACACCAAATGGCAGCACATATTGGACAAGACAATAATAAGAATTTTTGTTATGTTTTTCCTTTAATTTTTCACGTGCTTGTTACACCTGGGTATATAAAATTGTATTATATCAGATTATCATACTTTTATACCAAAAAAGGTTATTACATTGTAGGTTAGTACTCTCAAAAGTGTTTTGCTTGCAGTTGTACAGGTTTATTTTTGCACATAAACTGCTCAAGGATTTCAATACAATTCAATCTACATACTCAAGAATGTACTTGAGTAAAGTTTTAAACAGCTTGGCTGTTGTGCAGCATATTTTTAGTGGTACATAAATGTGATATGTTACTTAATACAATCAGACAAATGGTAAATGGCCTATATTTGTATAGCGCTTTACTTAGTCCCTAAGGACCCCAAAGCGCTTTACACTACATTCATTCACCCATTCACACACATTTACACACTGGTGATGGCAAGCTACATTGTAGCCACTGACAGAGGTGAGGCTGCCGGACACTGGCGCCACCGGGCCCTCTGACCACCACCAGTAGGCAACGGGTGAAGTGTCTTGCTCAAGGACACATCGACTGAGACCGTCCGAGCCGGGGCTCAAACCGGCAACCTTCCGATTACAAGACGAACTGCCAACTCTTGAGCCACGACCGCCCCGTATAAGCCAGATACTTGCGCTGTGGAAGTACAGGATTTTGCAACTTGGAACAATGATCGCATGAAACAGCAATTCAACGGAATACACTTTGAGCAGTGCTCTGCTCACGAATTTCCTAGGTAGCCGAGTGCATTTAAAAGCTATGACGCAATACTTGAGCATCACAATGATCCTTAAAAGTGCAAGCTGCACCTGAATACTGCAAGACTAAGCCTCAACCCGTCTGTGTCTATTCCGACAGAATGGTTTACCCCTTACAAAATCAAAATTTCTATGTTTACTACAACTGTGCTTGCAGAGTCAAATCAATTAGCAGTCCTTCTTGTAAATTGTACGTTTAATGAAACCTGATTTTACATAAGTGGTTTTGTTTTTTAATCTCTATACTTTCTTGTGGCTGTGTGTGGCTAAATGAAAGTACAATCTGTTGTTTATGGCACAACATGTTGTGTTACTGGTTTTTGGAGTCGTGTTTATTTTTAGAATACCCTTATCTGATCTATTTTCTCTCGCTCCCTATCTTTCTCTAGGTCTTGTAGGGAGGAGTGGAGCTACTCCAGTCATAAATGGAGAGGGACGAGCACACGCTCTGTGTCCTGGACGGCAACACCCACATCCCAACACCTGCTTGAGAGCTGCTGTATCGATGACCACAGTTGAAAAAAGCGATTGCATTTGACACCGCAGACCTGACTATTCTACAGAAACGCTTGGGCTGCTGCCATGGATGGGGAGGAAGAGGTCTCACATATGGGCGAGGAAATGGTCAGTGAACCTAATGGCTCCATAGAACGCAGAAAAAGAGAGGCAAAAGGGACCTGCCTGAAAATTGAAGGGCAGGATGGCTATGTGTTCAAATCCTACAGCATTAGCCCCCGTGAAACTGCTGATGCAAAGTCACCTGCTTGCTCCTCAATAACACTGGATAAAGACTCTCTTCCTTGTTTCAACTTTTCTTCTCAGGGTGACGGACTGTTTGAGACAGACACGGCAAATAAGAGTGCTGCAGCTTCCCCCACTCTTTCAGACAAATGCCTAAACATTGACACCGAGGGAAATGGAGAGAGTGAAAAGTATGAAAATGGCAGCGAATTGAGTGAACATGGCAAAGGGGAGATCCAGGATGCTAATGGAATGGAAGAAGAAACCCAGGATGATGACAGACTACCCTTTGGCAGCTCAGTTGGCCCTTTTGTAACTAAAGATGGCGATGACTATAGCAATTTACTAAGTGGATACACAAGCACCCTTTATGATGTCGCCATGGACGCTGTCACTCAGAGTCTTTTGTCATCTATGAGGAGTCAGACCAACCCACGGAAAAAATCTCCAGCATGGAATCATTTCTGCATATCACCACGAGACAGTACCAAAGCAATCTGTTTATACTGCATGAAAGAGTTCAGTCGGGGTAAGAACGAAAAAGACCTCAGCACGAGTTGTTTAATGAGGCACGTACGAAGGGCTCACCCCACTGTGCTTTTGCAAGACGGCGCTGACGCATCCTCAAATAATCTGACTAGCCCTCTTGCCTCATCTTTGATACCTCCCTCCCCAAACTCACCAAAAAACGGAGACTTGACAAATAGCATTGTTAGCTCTGCCTCAAAAAACACTTCACCGTCCACCTCCTCAGCTGAAAATTCAGACCTGTCATCCAAAGAAGTGTTACCCAAAGTCGAACCAAAACTAGAACCGTATGCCAATGCCGACGCTGTTTGCAGCACCCTCCCATCCTCACATTCCAATGAAAACAATGCCGAAGACATGTCAGACGGAGGGCCTGAGCGCCTTCCAGGGACCCCAAAAAGCTCTAGCTCCCGTCGCAGGTCAGCTGTATGGAAACATTTCTACCTGTCGCCTGCTGATAATTCCAAAGCAGTATGCATTCATTGCATGAATGAATTCAGTAGGGGTAAAAATGGAAAGGATCTGGGGACAAGCTGTCTTATCCGGCATATGTGGAGAGCCCACAAAGAGGTTGTAATTGAGGAGAATGGACAGGGAAATCACATTCCGCCACCCTATACTAACCCGCCCTCGCTGCTGTCCCGCACTCAACTACAGGATCCACTGGAACTCAAAAAAGAATCACCCCTTCTTCCATCATCACCAGAAACCATATCAGATGAACTACCCCAAAGCATGGAGGAAAGCATGGATATAAAGGAAGAATCTGATGAGGTGATGCATCTCTCAGGGCAGGAGACCACACTCAACCTCTCCTTCAAAACTCATGGGGAGGACACACCCCTGACTTCATCACCATGTGACCTCTCTGAAGGCCCCAGCCTCAATCAGGATCATTCAGTTTTTCAGCAAAACAAAAAGATCATGAAACGGGTTAAATCAGAAGTGTGGCACCATTTCATAGTGTCACCTGTTGACCAGTTAAAAGCACTGTGCCGTTACTGTCCGTGTGTCATCAGCCGGGGGAAACGGGGCGATTTTGGTACAAGCTGCTTAATGAGACATCTAATGAGACGTCACCCAGATGTCCTCAAAAACCAAAAAAGCACAGATGATAAGGAATCTTCCCCTCATCCCTACACCAATCTCGCTGCAACAGATCCAGTTTCAGCCAAAGAAACTGAGAGTCCCCTTAGTGAGAAAAAAACACAAACCCTGCCTGTTTTCAGTAAAAAGACGTCAAAACTGTGGAATCATTTTTCCATTTCGCCTGCTGACCCTACAAAGGTGGTTTGTTTGCACTGTAGCCGCACAATTAGCAGAGGCAAAAAGACTACAAACCTCGGCACAAGCTGCCTTTTCAGGCACATGCAGAGGTTTCACGGACATGTTCTTGAAAGTAACAATACTATCTCAGGTGATGTGCCGTCTGCTGAAATTCATGTTAAACAAGAGCTCATGGACACTTCTGTTTATGAAACGGAACAGAATCGTGAGAGATTTGATGAACACCACCCGGTTGCCAAAAAAATCACCAAACTTATTGCAGAAATGCTCGCACTGGATCTTCAGCCATCAGCTATGGTGGAGAATGCTGGACTGAATCGACTGCTAGAGTACCTCCAGCCTCAGTATTCTCTACCACCCTCTTCGTACTTTACCAGCACTGCCATACCAGATATGTACGAAAGGGTGAAGGAGGTTGTGTTGACCCACCTGAAAGAAGCTGAAGGTGGTGTTGTCCACTTCACAACTAGTATTTGGGTCAGTAGCCAGACAAGGGAATACCTAACCCTTACCGCCCACTGGGCGACGTACGAGTCAAGTGTCAGACCCCAAGGTCAAGACTTTCACTGTTCTGCTCTCCTAAGTGTCTCACAAATAGACTCTGATCACGATATGCATGACATCCCAAAGCAGCTCGAGTATCTGTGGGATTCTTGGATCAACTCATCAGGGCTGAAAAAGGGGTTCACTGTAACAGACAACACCACCATCAAAAACACTTTGGAGGACCACGGTCACGTCACCATGCAGTGTTTTGGACACACCATCGACCTCATTGTTAGTGAAGCCATAAAGAGCCAGCGAATGGTTCAGAACCTTCTGAGTATTGCACGAAAGATCTGTGAGCGTGTGCACCGCTCAGCAAAGGCCAAGGAGAAGCTGGCTGAGCTCCAGAGGGTCCATCAGCTGCCAGAGAACCAGCTCATTCAGGACGTCCCTTCCAAATGGATGACCTCCTTTTTCATGCTGGAGCGACTGGTTGAGCAAAAGAAAGCCATCGACGAGATGTCGATCGAGTGCAATTTCAGGGAAATGATCAGCTGCGATCAGTGGGAAGTAATGTTGTCAGTCTGCAATGCACTGAAACCTTTCGAAGTCGCCTGCAGGGAGATGAGCAACCGCACTGCCACTCTGGGACAAGTGATACCACTCATTCATATTCTCAACAGAAAAATAGACTTGCTGTTTGACGAGACCGTGGGAATAGACAACATGCTCAAGTCTCTAAAGGAAGCGATGGTGAGCAGGATGTCTGCAACTCTTCACGACCCTCAATACATCTGGGCAACCATGCTGGACCCACGATACAAAACGTCATTGTTCACAGAGGAAGAAGCTGAAAGATGTAAACAAGACCTGATCCGGGAGCTGGACATGTCCTGTTCTACCTCAGTTGCAGTCAAGCCTCTGCTGCACAACGGCTGCAATGAGGCCAACGTTTCATCCAGCACCGCAAATTCAAACAAGGACAACCTCTGGTCCTTGATGGCTGACATCAGGCAAAAGATAAAAAACGAGGAGAAGCCAAAGTCCTCAGAGCTGGCAGTGCTGGAGTATCTTGAGGAAGACATACTCGATCAAAGCTGTGACCCCCTTGACTACTGGAACCTGAAAAAGTTCCTATGGCCTGATCTTGCCAAAGTAGCCGCCCGCTACGTGGGTTGCCCTCCGAGCATCGTCCCAGCAGAGACACTGTTCAGCACAGCTAGTGTCAACTGTGCCCTGAATCAGCCCAGGCCTTTGCTAGAAAACATGGAGGGTCTGCTGTTCCTCAAGGTCAACCTCCCCTTGATTTATTTTCAGTACTGATCATAATTATTTTGTTGAGCATTAACTTGAAAACCCTTTATTTAAGGACCAAGTTGCATAGCTGTGAAATGGGGGGTGGGGTTCTGTCGGGCAAAATGTAAAATATCATTGAATACACTGATTTTCAATGCAAAGGCCAGATCGAGGCTTTATTGTATTCTCTGTACTACTGTTAAAACACTTTGGAGCTGTTGTGATGAAAAGTCTCAGAAGTGTATCAGGGAGGGAGGGTTTTTCTAGCTGTAGGGGTTGGTGATAATGTGTTTGCTTCTAAATCAATGTTTTTCCTTTGTCTACTCTCTCCTTGTGCCTTATCCAAAACTACTTCAGGTCAAAAACGCTGTAAATATTGTTGAAATTGCGCAGATCACGTCAGGATGCTTTTTTTGAATATTATGATTAAAGATAAGAGTTGTTTTCTGAATGAAAACATGGCCCCCAAAAAAATAAATAAATGCTGTGACTGAAAGATATTTTAAGTTTATATTATTTAATTTCCATTGTGAATTTGTGGCTCATGGTACTGTCATTTAGGATTAGATTTTTTTTTTTTTTAACTTGCTGATATGTTTTTAATGAGATCATGTATAATATTGCTGTATTTTCTGAATAATGGGGTTTGTTTGGAATATACAATTTGTCTCTCAAGCACAATTTAAGTTTATGTCCAGGGGTTTAAATTATGGGTTTATTATTGAGTAAAACAATGTACTGTACATTTTTATATTAAATGACTTCTGAACCTAATTTCATAAATGTTTTAGCATTGAGACTGGAAACATGCAAATTTTGGTCATTTGTAAATAAAGGTTTTCCTTACACAATATCGTAGAGTCTTGTTCTTACCAATGAGACCGAAAAGCTGGTGTTTAGTGTGGAGCCTTAAGGCACACGAGTACAAGAATTCAATGTTTTCACTTCATTTTGAGCATCTCCAGTGTTCAGTGAACTTCATTTATTTTTTGTTATCCTCTGAGCTTAAAAAAAAAATAATACAAAGATTTATTCAGAAGTCAAAATAATTTCACGTTGAAAGTGTGGTAGCTCGTTTCCTTGCATGAGAGCAGATAAGATTTACAGATTCATGACTATGTTAATGCAACACTGATGCTTTGTAGTGGAAATACCTGGAGAGATACTTTTTATTATTCTGTAAAAGCACTGGTTTCACAGTAGTGGTCAGCAAATTTAAAGAAAAAAAAAAATCCAACACTTGTTTAAGTCACTGTTTTGGTGGCCTTTCTCTCCATCAGCACAGTTTTTCTCTCCAAGTGCACTCTGACAGGAGGGAAGTGAAACACACTGAAGGCAATGTTGCGGTAACCTTCTATGAAGGTCAGAGGCTGATGGGTGTCCTGGAGTAATTCTATCTTGGTCGCATTAGCCTCCATCAATAGGTGCGAGTACATCTGCATAGCTGGGCTCGTGGGGCTCAAGTCCTCACGTTTGTCATATCTGTTGAAAATGGGAAGTAAAGTGTTAAAAATGTTTAAAATAATATTTTAAGTTTACTTAAAAAGCTAAAATAAATAAAGCTGTATTCATTTTTGTCACTTTGGTCACATTTGATAATGTAACCTGCTTCATAAGGCTTTCACAGACATGTTTATTGAGGTCCAGCATGTCTGACCTGCCTTTCCAAAGTATTTGTGCTGCAGTACCTATTCTGAGATTGTAACAATTTCCCCATTTCCAAATGTTACCCATGTTATAATGTTTGGAAAAAAAAAAAAACGAAAACTGACAATACAGATACTGAAAACTGAAGTGAGGCCAATTTTTTTTCTGAATTCTAAGCTCAACTCAAAACACCCACAAAAAAATAGAACATTTAAAACTGTATATATATATATATTAAAAAAAAAAAAGATTGGTGGACAGATTTCAGATCAAAATAAAACACCAACCTCCAGTTTTTGTTTAGTTGTAGGAAGCGTGAAACTCCAGTCTCAGCAGTGTAGGTGTCAATGTGAACAAATACATCTGAGGAAAGACAGCAACAATGAGAGTTCACTAGAAAACCACGATTCTTTATCTCCTGCATTTCTGACAGACTTTTAAATATGTAACTGTGTGAGCGCTCCCTTCAAGAAAGAAAAAAAAAAGCTTGATGTGATTCCAACCTGCTGAGGCTGGCAACAGCCGGTGTAGTTCCTGCATTCCTCTGCCTCCAGGGTAGTTGTGGTGAGAAACATAGAGGCAAATACCAGAGTATGCCGTGTTTGCCAACAGCTGGCCAACCACAAATGCAGAACCCAGTTTGTATATCCAGGATTTCTGGTAGTTACACAAACTAAATCACATGGAGGGAGGAAAAAAACAAAACAGTAAAAAGCATGACAAACAGCTTCAGCTCTCGAAATTTCAATGCCAATTTTAAGAGAAAGGAAACTTTTTAGGATCATTCACTCTTCTTTCAATATAAGGACAGGTGCCGTACGTTTCAGCTTACACGAAAGAGCAACCACGCGCAGCCACCAAACTGAGCACGGGAAAAGTGTATATGATGAAACGCAGCTCTTTGTGGGGCAACAGTGAGTAGAGCAGAATGAAGCCCACTGTGGGCAGCAGCAATGCTCTCATTCGCCTGTCAAGGAGGCCAAGGGGGACAAAGAACAGCGTGCAGCCCAGGGCGCGAGGTACAGCAGAGTAGAAGTACCAGAGAAATGGAGAGGTTTACTGGGGAGAACAGTCAAGGACTGCTATAACCAACCAACAATAAACCAACAACAATGTCATAAAATTAAATTCAGCAACATCCTTACCTGAGTTTTAACTGAGCTAGAATGCTAAAGGAGACTGGACTCATACAGGAATATTTTAACAAAGGGCATCAACATGCTGTTCATCAACACGCTTTTAAGATACCATGAAACTAAAACATTTATTAAATTAACAATTGTAAACTAAGAAATCTGTTGCTGTGAAATTGTGCAATACAAATAAAATGACTGAAATATTCAGTCCAACAAGGAAAGTCATTTTTCCACAGCCAACAAAGTCCCAGTTATCCCAGTTATCCTCTCCTACTATTTCCATAAAGTGAAATGTCACATTTTCTAATACATTTCTGTGTTTTTCTTGTGGTCGTCATTTCCCCCGTATAGTTTCCCAACTATCAAACAGCTAAGCAAACAGGATGTGCTGGAATAAATCAAAGGATATTCCCCAGTTGGAACTTTTGTTGAGAATGGTGTTATACCACAAAACCTGGCCTTCAGGCCACAGGAGCTTCCTCCAGAAGAAGGTATCAACAGCCACTGTCAGAGCTGCAGGAGACAAAGGAAAGCAAACACAAACAGTGATCAGCATGTTTTTAATATTGTTAGACATACACTGTATTTATTATAGATGAACCACGAACCTAATGACAATATCCCAGCAGGAACAGTATATTTCAGCAGCTGCAGCAGCCCCAGCTTCCTGCTCAGGAGCGACATCAGTAACATGAGGCCCATAAAGATGCACAACTCTGACCGGAACACAATGATGACCAAAGCAGACAGGGAGATGAACCGGCCATATCTCTGAGCCATCCATGATGTGAATGCTATAAGAACTGGGCCGAGAGTTTTACTCATCATTATAATGCTCGATTATTTAAGTTCCAAAAATAACAAAGAAAGAAACTAGAACTCGAATGAGAACAGAATGAGAGCTGATGGGTTACCTAATGGCAGGGCGAATACATTGGGCAGTGTCCTTGTGCTGTAGAACATTAAATGAAACTGAGATGCACATATAAGGCAGAAAAGGTCTGCAACTGTGGAGCCAAACTGCCTCCTTGCTTCTCTCTGCATGTGCCACAGTGCACCGATGACGCACACACCCAGGGAAGCTCGGACTGTGCAGAAAGAACAGCACATTAAACATCTCTTAAGAGCTTTTAATTACCTTTACATCTCAGTGGTTTGGATACTAAACAACAAAAAGCCAGATGGTACGCTACCTATAAGCTGTGTGTAGAACTTTGGTGCATCCAGCAGGGAAGACAGAAAAACAACAGGGGAGGTGAGCGTGGAGAGGAAGAGGGGGCCAAGGAAAGTCCGCGGCACCACACCGGGGAACTCGTGATGGTCATACTGAAAAGAAAAACAAGGTACTTTGTAAGACTTATACAGCCACACTACCATACAGTGATTTTAAGGAGCTCAAAAACAAGAGTAAATAAAACAATCTAATCTCTCGCTTTCAATCACATCACATGACCCTAAACAAGACCTGGAATTTACCCAGATGTCATGGATTTTTTTCTCCCTTTTTATCAGAACAAACAAGTAAACTGTCTAAAGCATCTCTGTTAAGTTAAAGTCAGGACTCTCTTGGCTGTTCTAAAACATGGATTTCTTCTTTCCAATCATCCTGTAGTTGGTTTTTCATTGTCTTGACTCTTCTAAGCTTCGAATCATGGAGTGATGCCCCGGTTTTTTGCTGTAAATGTTTTTGACTGAATTTGGAATTTATTACTCTCTGCATGTCCAGATATCCAGACCATAAAAAAACAAAAATAAAAAGCCAAACCATGATCCTCCCTCCACCGTGCTTTACAATGTCTTCACAGCATTGTTTCACCCCCTACAATGTACAGTGCATGCTTCTTATAAAGGTAAACCTTTGTCTAATCTTCCCAGAGAAGATTTATCTAGTAAAATTGAGCAACATTCAGGCATTCTCATGCAAATTTGAGATGTGTTGCAATGTATTTTTAAGTCATTCTCACAGTTACTCTGTCATCTGTGGAAGGATACTACTGACAGCTCTGTGCCATGTAGTGTAGTTCATCTTGTAGTGAACACCTAATTTAAAATGTTACAAGCTGTAAAGACTGCTGCAAATATTTTTGCTGTCTATTGGGGGTTTTCTTGTTTTTCCTTTTTGGGGGGGTGTCTCTAAGTTTCAGGACTGCTTACTGCGCTCTTGACTTATTATTTTTCCGGACACCCTCATCACAGGGAACACAACAGTCCTGCATGTTATCAAGTTGTAATATATTGTTATAAGCAACATTGTAATATAGAACAAAAGCACTTATGCCACAACAGAACAGAATAAAGCCCAATAGATACTGATATTGAGTAATTTAAAAATTCCGATATATCAACTTATTGTTTTTCTTACACACAAAACATAATAGATGTGAGGGAAATCTGTTTATGTGTAGTTATTTATGAGTCTTTACGAAGGTAATAAGACATTTCTGTTTAAAAATGTTTTATTGTCATGACAAGATCAGCTGATTGTTGAGTTTGTGGCATTTCAAACAGGTTTTACCAGGGTAGCTTCAGAGTGCCCTCTGGTGTACATGCAACGCAACATCAATACTCCGAAAGGTGATTCTCCAGTCTCTTCTTTGGATTTTTTTAATTTTACATTTCTTATAAATCTTGATAGTGATATATCAGAGCACTACAATGAAGGCAGAAAGGAACTGCAAAGCAATGTTAATGCTGAAAGCCAACACTGTAGGTCAAGTCTAGTCAGTTACAAAATTTAGTGACCCTAATATTAGTCCTCATTAGCACCACAGTTATTGGTGGCCTCCATGGCATAAATTCAATAGGTCTCTCTTTGTTTGAGGCTTTGATTTTATCCCCAACCCTGGTATCAAAGCTGGTAGTTCCCAGTAGGGTCGAGTTACTCCCATGATGTGCTTATGTGTAGTGCGTTTTGCCTTAAAATAAATCAGGTTAAATAGGAACAGTATACCTATGTTCAGCCACCCTGTCCCTCAGTTTTGGTCACATTTTTCCCATTTTTCAACAGAGCTCCTGTTATGTTCTCTTGTTTTATTGTGAATGAATGCATTTTTCTAATATTGTGACGTGAATGGGTGAGGATTAGACCACATTTTTTTTTTTTTCCTTGTAGCTATAGGTTTACGATGGAACAGTCCACACCGCAGTATAGCTGTCAAACTACTGGTGTGTATGATTTTTATAGCAAGCATCAATAGCAAGCAGAATGTTTGGGACGTAGCATTACATCAAAAGTAGGATTTAAAATGTACCCGCAGCTGTCACTTTTTTTTCATAATGTACCTTATATTTAACATCTTTAGGGCCGTAAGAATGGTATTCTATTTTTTTTAAATGACAAAAAGGGAAATTGAATATTACGAATATTTTATTTACATCCACGGGTGCTTTCTGTGTCCACTTAGCTTATTAACACATCAAATGGCTGCATGCTTACCTTGTCAAAGTCAAGTCTGTGATACAGAAGGTCGTGTGCCGCCTGTAAGTTGAAGCTCTCCTCAACTTTAGTGAACGGGCAAATAAATA